ACTTCTGCCGGTTGACAGACTTTCGTCGGTCTTCTACCCGATGCTGCACCTCTACCCGATTACGGACTTCTGCCTGTCGTCAGACTACTACCTATCATCGGACTTCTGCCCGTCGATGGACTTTCGTCGGTCTTCTACCCGGCGTTGTACTTCTACCCAACGTCGGACTTCTCCCTGTCGTCAGACTTCTGCTCGTCGACGAACTTTCGTCGGTCTTCTATCCGACATTGTACTTCTACCCGATGTCGGACTTCTCCCTATCTTCGGACTTCTGCTTGTCAGCGGACTTCTACTCGTCGTCGGACTTCTGCTCATCAACGAACTTTCGTCGGTCTTCTACCCGACACAGTACTTCTACCCAACGTCAGACTTATACATGTCGTCGGACTTCTGCTCGTCAGCGGACTTCTGCTCGTCAGTGGACTTCTATTCGTCGTCGGACTTCTGCTCGTCGACGAACTTTCATCTGTCTTCTACCCGACATTGTACTTCTACACGACGTCGGACTTCTCCCTGTCGTCAGACTTCTGCTCGTCAGCGGACTTCTACTCGTCGTCGGACTTCTGCTCGTCGACGAACTTTCGTCGGTCTTCTACCCGACAATGTACTTCTACCCGATGTCGGACTTCTCAGTATCGCCGGACTTCTGCTTATCAGCGGACTTCTACTCGTCGTCGGACTTCTGCTCGTCGACGAACTTTCGTTGTCTTCTACCCGACACAATACTTCTACCCAACGTCGGACTTCTATTTGTCGTCGTACTTCTGCTTGTCAGCGGACTTCTACTCATCGTCAGACTTCTGCGTGCCGTCGGACTACTAACCGTCGTCGGACTTCTGCCCGTCGACGGACTTTCGTCGGTCTTCTACCCAATGCTGCACCTCTACCCGACTACAGACTTTTGCCTGTCGTCGGACTACTACCCGTCGTCGGACTTCTGCCCGTCGACAGACTTTCGTCGGTCTTCTACCCAACGATGTACCTCTACCAGACTACGGACTTCTGCCTGTCGTCGGACTATTACCCGTCGTTAGACTTCTACCCGTCGATGGACTTCTGTTGGACTTCTACTCGACGTTGAATTTCTACCCGTCATCGTACTTTTCCCCGACGTTAGAATTCTACTCGACGCCAAGTCTCCACCCTTTATTGGACTTTTGTTCATCGTCAGCCTCCTACCTGACGCCGTATTTCTACCCGACACTGGGTTTCTACACTTCAACAGTCTTTTCAACCTCCCTCCTTACAACGATCTCTCCGACCTCCATCTCCAAACAACTAACATTAGAACTCCGCAGGATATCTCGAAGAATAGAGGAAGAATGGGGGATCTCCGGACTTCCTTGCAAAGAGAGGGGCCTTGGAGAACCAAGGGGAAGCCTCAATTATAATAATAGAGGGAGAAGGGAAAATCTCCGGACTTCCTTGCAAAGAGAGGGGCCTTGGAAAACCAAGTGAAAGCCTCAATTGTAAGGACAGAGGAAGAGGAGAAGGTGCAAGGAATTAGGTCCAAAGGGGAGCCTATTTATAGGAAGAAAGGGGAGTCCTTCTCTCCCTCACTCTCACTCTCACTCTCACTCTCCCACTCTCCCACTCTCTCAAAAAAAAATCATGGGCGGTTTTGCCCTGGCGGTTTACAAGAAAACCGCATTGGCGGTTTCTAAAAAAAAAAAAAAAAATTTATTGGCGGTTAAATAAACTGCCCATACATGGGCGATTAAGAGAACCGCCTTAGGGGGCAGTTGGAGCAGCCCGTCCAATCATGGTTGGAAATATTTTTTAAAAAAATTTTGCCATAGGCCTTTCAGCCTCACGCTTGTCCCAAATCCTGAAAGAAATTGTGGAATAATTTTCTTTCACAAGCAATATGAATACCTAACTCAAATGGGAATGGAACAACAAAGAACATAATCATGGTCTGCCATGCCTCCAAAGTACAATGATCCGTATTACATAGCAAAACCATATAACAAATGCATCTCCACTATGAGTGAAGATTTTTAGATAAAGTCTGGTTGAGCACAACACATAGAAGATGTCATCAATTTCGTTATTATTTGCTTACATTAATGTTGGTGTAATTTATCATGTAAGCTACAAATTTGAAAGACAGCAGCCAACGGCAGACAATGCTTGTACTGCCTCAATTTTGTCTCGGGCAATATAAATCAAACATTTTAACGATTCTCAGAAGTATTTTTTTGATACTTTCGAGACTCAACAGAACATCTATGATCAAGTTTGAGAAAAATTTTAATTTTGGAACGCAATTTTTTGCGATTAGGCCAATATGAAATGTCGACACATATATTTTCGGACTTCTAAAGCATCGGCGTCCGAAAATAGGGGGGCAACTGATACGTCATCAGAAAATCACCTTGATCAGGCACTAATCTCGAGGCAAAAGCACGTTGAAAACTTCAAAAATTAATTCGGAGACCATCTCAACTCGGATTTCAACAAACTTATAGTCGAACTGAGCGTCTCGGAAATACGAATCCAACGACACCAAATTCGACTCAATCCGACCCCAAATGAGTCCAAATCAAAGACCCGAAGCGTAGTTGGAAGGTTCAATCCACAATTTGAGTTACCAAACGGTCTCCGATTTTAACGAGATTATACTCGAATCGAACGGCTCGACGAGACGAATCCAACGAGCCCAAGAACACTGAATTCCAAAATCACTAAGGCCTCCAAATGCCTGACAAACGGTCCATTATCATGGGGTTCAATATCGGTCGTCCATCCAACCACTCCCCATTTACCCTTGATCTCTCACCTATTTACGGGTCATGCCACTCCAGAAAATCTATAAATAGACCCCTCATTTCTCTTGAAAGGGTGGCCAAACAAGAAGAGAAGAGGAGAAGAAAAGGAAGAGGAGAAGGAAGAAGCTCCTCCTCGACCTCCGCCAGAACCTCGCCGGACCACCGCAGGAGCCTCGCTGGACCACTGCCAGAGCCTCGCCGGACCACCGTTGAACCACTGCTGGAGCCTCGCCGAACCATCGTTGGAGCCTCTTTGGACCACCGCCGGAGTTTCGCCGCACCACCATCTCAAGGCCCGACGTTCAGGCCCGACGTTCTATTGAAGGCTCGACATTCAGGCCCGACGTTTTACTGAAGGTCCGACATTCAGGCTCGACGTTCTGCTGAAGGCCCGACATTTTACTCAAGGCCCGACATTCTGCTCAAGTCCCGACGTTCTGCTGAAGGCCCAATGTTCTACTCAAGGCCCGACGTTCTGCTGAAGGCCCAACGTTATGCTCAAAGCTCGATGTTCAGGCCTAACGTCTTCATCTGAGGCCCTCACCTTCGCTAGAGGCCCTAACTTTCGCCAGGGGCCCTCACTTTTACCAGCGGCCTTCACCTTTGTCAGAGGCCCTCACCTTTACCAGAGGCCCTTGTCTTCGCCAGATTATCATAAAAGGTCGTGTGCTCCACTAGAACATCACATGAGGCCCAAACTTCCGCCAGACCACTACTTGAGGCCTTGAGCTCCACCAGGCCACCACCTGATGCCCACAGTTCTCCTAGAATACTGCCGACTACGGTCCTTTCAACCTCCGTCTCCTACTATGGTCCTTCCGGCCTCCATCAACAGGCAACGATCTTTCTGACCTCGTTCTCCTGCCGACTACGGTCCTTTCGACCTCCGTCGCCTACTGCAGTTCATCCGACCTCCATCACCAGACAACGGTCTTTCTGACCCAGGTCTCCTGCCAACTACGGTCCTTCCGACCTCCGTCGCCTACTATGGTCCTTCCGACCTCCACAACAAAAAAACGGTCTTTCTGACCCCGGTCTCCTGCCGACTACAATCCTTTCGACCTCTGCCGCCTACTACGGTCCGTCTGACCTCCATCAACAGACAACGGTCTTTCTGACCCCGATCCTTCCGACCAAACAAACATGTATATGTAACTCCTACCATGTAATGCAATCTATATAATGTATATTTGCTACATCAATACAAGGCCATCTCCAAAAGAAGGGCATCATTTGTAATCGACTGCAAATACTAGTGGATTCATTCAAACTAGGCCAGGCCCTGTGGTTTTTCCCCCTTTTTAGGGGTTTTCCACATAAAAACTCTGGTGTCTCTTATGAATGTTTCACCCCCTCTCTTATCTGCTTGTGTGCTAGATCTTCGTACAAAATGCTAAGACGTTAAACCATATATTTCTCTACCGCCGTGAATATTCCAGGACGCAACAAGCCCCATGATCAGTTAGCTTAGCAATAGCTCGTCACCACACTGCTGGCCACCATTGTAAAGGCAACACTGCCAAACATAGGCTTCGTTTGGTACAATTGCATTATTATTTAAAAAAATATATATATTTTTTGAACTAAAAAATTTTCTAGTAAATTATCCTAAATAAAGACTTCACGTCCAACTATAAAGATCAAGATAACAAATGTCTAATATGACGTGTTCTGATAATAATAAATATTAGAAATATAAGATGAGGAGAATTAAAGTTTTGTTTGGAAGAGCTTTCTTGTTACATTTTAAAATGATTTCTAGTATAAAAATTTATAATTCAAAAAATTTTTATACTAGAAAGTTATTTTATGCTTGATTTAGACATTTTTCTTACTATTTTTTGAAATAATTTTAAGTAGAAAATTTTTATACTAAAAAATTGTTTTAAAAACAATAAAAAAAATAATCTCAAATTACTAGGCTCCCCTTCAAAGTGCAATGAAGGTCGCGGATCTAGGCCACAGGCATTGATGATCACCCGCTAGACCCCATCCAGATAAGTATCATCCCAAATTAAGTCTTTCTAATACAAAACAATAAGTTGTCCCCTAAGACTTCGTTTGGGACGGCTTTCTTCTTGCTTTCTAATACAAAAGCAGTATTGGCTTTTTTATTGCTTCTTAAAGCAATTTTTTAGCATAAAAATTTTAATTTTTATACTAAAAAGCTGCTTTAAGAAGCAGAAAGAAAGCCGTCCCAACCGAAGCCTAGGTCATTCTAATGAATGCTTTTTTTTCAGCCATCTTCACACATCCAGGAAAATATTATTAGTGCACGGTTCTTGCCTAATAGGAGAGGCAGAATATTTACATAGGGGAAAATACCTTATTCCTTCTCTAAATAAGATAGAGCAACGGCTGCATGAAGAGCAGCTCCAGCAGGGAGGACCTCATCATCAATAAAGAAGTAGGGGGAATGCAGGTTGTGGATTGATCCAAGAGATTCATTTCTAATGCCAATGGAGAACATAGCAGCAGGTATTCTTTGCGCGTAGAAGCTGAAATCTTCGGAGCCCATGACGAGTGGGCTGAGCTGGAAATTGGACTCACCAAGTAAGATCCCGCCTACTCTCTTCACATGATTGAATAACTCCTCGTCATTAACAGTTGCAGGAAACGCCCTTTCCAGGAACTTGACTTTTGCCGAGCAGCGGTGGACTGCAGCCTGGCCTATTATAACCTGCATGGAATAAATAGGGCTATAAAAAAAGCTTGTTGTTGTTCTCGTTTGGGACGAAAGCAGCTTTCTAATACAAAAATTTTAATTTTTATATTAAAAAGCTGTTTTTAAAAGCAGGAAAAAAGATGTCCCGAACGAAGAAGCCTTAATCCCGTTCGGCTTGATAATTAGCTTGAGTTCAACTACTTCTTATAAACTTGTATATTTAGTTTAGGGTTACATAAACAAGAATTTGTTTGATCATGTTATATATATAAACTTTGTATAATAATAGTCATATATTTCTATTTGTATGGAGGTATGTGCATATATATGAAGATATGTAGATTCTACCGTTTATATATTTTAGATAGATTTTATGTTGAGAACAGCTTGTGTGAACTAGATAAATGAACAAGTCAAATACCAATGAAATTTTGACTTGTTTGCTTAATGAACCAAGCAGAACAACAATTGAGCATGTTCAAGTTCGGATTGTTCAAAACCCTGGACTAATAAACCAGTGAACAACAACATCAGTCAACTGAGAAGAACAGGTTGGTAGTGATGGGAACAAAGATTTGAATATTAGTACCTCCAGGATGCGATTCTGCAGGTAGTAAAGACCTTCAGTTGTCGCACTCCTAAAGCTTCCTCCGAATGTTATGGATTCTGGAATGACATTATGTGCTTCACCACCCCTAATGAAGCCAACAGAAACCACCTGAGTATGGGCGGGAATTAGTAATGATTAGTATTTATCAGATTCAAGCAGATGCAGTGGTCAAGAATTCGTTTGGATTGAAAGAAAAAGAAGGAAATGAAAGGAATCCGAATAATTTGTAAATATTTTTAATTATTTTATCATTTCCTTACAGTTATGATCCCAACATACAGGCAAGTAAATGTCTGAAATTACAATTTGGGCATGACTCTTTGAAATCCATCTTGAATTATCATGCTTTTTTTTTTTACTATCCATTGTTTTGATCATTTTCTACTGAGATCAACAAATAGATTTTCTACTTGATCACTCCATAAGAATATAAACTCGACTCTCACAATATCAGAGCCTTTTCTTCAGCAAACAACCATATTATTTCTAAGAGTTTGAGATTGCTCTCTCTCTCTCTCTCTCTACCATCACATTAGTTTGAAACTAGATACAAAGCGGTGAAATGAAGAGTTATCCTAGGGTGAGAGGTTGCACTACTCATCAAAACATTTTCGAGTGAGAGAGGGGAAAAAGAAAAAAATAAAAACTTTAGGATTTTGTGACGGTATTTTGGCCTATTTATTAATGAAAGGGCCAATTTAGAAGATCATAAAACTTGAACTAGACTGCAACTTTCCAGCAAAATAGATTACAAATTGCCCTTAAGTTTAAGCTTCCCTAATGAACCTCCAAGAAAATCGCACTATGCTACTTGAAAAAAGTACAACAATTGTATGAATTATCACTCTCTTCCATTTCCTCTCCTCGGTTGGCAAAAAGATTGGAAGGAATAGTTTTTGGTATCTAATATAAAAATAAAGGGACTCAAAATACTGAAAATAAGCTATTTTGAATTGTGGTATAAACAAGATCAAGAAAATAGACAAGAACTTTCAAGAAAGGATAAATTAACAAAAACAATAATAAGCTCAGTTGACTAATTAAGATTGTAAAAAGCATATAAGCAACAACAATAAGACAAGTTTTAAGTAGGAGAAAATTAATCTTACTCTACTCTCAAGAGGATCTGTTTCTCGAGATACAAGTTGTTGAAGGCTAAGAATTGCAGAACAAGCAGCTAACATTGGATCTACAGTTCTGTGTGGTGCTGCAGCATGCCCACCTTTCCCAATAATTATTGCCTCAAAATTATCCGCTGCTGCAAGAAGAGTACCAGGCCTAGAAGAAATGGTACCAATTGGAAAAGCTGGGTCAACATGAATGGCAAAAATGGCTTTTACGCCATTCAAAGCACCTTCTTCCAGCATATGATAAGCACCAGCATAGCCCTCTTCTCCGGGTTGGAAAACAAGCTTTATAGTGCCCTTCAAGAGGAGGCATGGAAACAATAAGATCAGGGGAACTGTATTATAAGATGGATCAACGTTTTGCAATTTAAAATGTGTATTCCTTTTCCAATTATACATAAAGAAGAATCAATGAGTTGGCATTCAGCTAAGATAACAGGGTTATAAAGCTTCACTAGTTTTTTTTTTCACCAAGATACTGGACGATGATCTAAACCTTAAACGTTTTTATTCTTGTGATATCTTTTGGGCATGAAGAAAGGAATTGATTATTTGAATTAGGAAACTCCACAACAAGTTAGAGCAAAAAATGACGATACAAAACTTTGAATATACCTTTATATCTTTCCTTAAACTTCGTTGAAGCAACTTGGCTGCACCAAGGAGCATTGTCACATGAGCATCATGTCCACAAGCATGCATTTTGCCATCCACTTTACTTTTATATTCCCAATCAACAAGCTCCTTCAAAGGGATTAAATTAAAGTTATCAATTCGAATTAGTATTATCCAAGGAGTAGGATAACTTGATAAATTGAAGAAAAATGCTTCACAAACCCATCTCGGTCAACACTCATTAAGGCCACGCTTACAGGCATGTTCTAAAATTATTTTTTATTTACCATGTCATAATGCATAAAAGAAGAGAAAAATTGCCTCAGTTGAAACGTCACATAAGTTGGGAATTTGTGGGATTTAACCAATGGGCTAGCGAAGCATTTCTCAATTTAAGAAAAAAGTGCATAATCCTAGCTTGAATCGCTAAAGCAACCATGCAGTGAGCCTCCAAGCCATAAATATTTGGTGTATAAATTTAAAAAATATAAGATCACATCACATTTCAAAACCCAAAAATCAGGGGTTCTCACAAATCACAAGTAATGACGAGACATATATATAAATCCAAAAGAAACCGACTGCAAAGTGATCAAAATTTTAAGAGCTTTATTTTTTAAAATCCAAGAAACCATGAAGATTATTCCTTCATTAAGAATTTGATTGCCCCTTTTTCCAACTCGACTTCACCATAGCTCACAGTTAATACCATGTACATGGAAGTAGAATGTTCCCAAGAAGTAAATAAGTGATCCTAATATACTATTGGTGACTATTATCATTGGCTTATGCTTTCGTTGCTGGGTGTCAATCCATTGGTGTATAGATTTAACTCTACCTCCGACTCCAATCATAAGTGGTATTAGGGTCAACAGTTCAACTAAGATCAAGTGGTCCATAGAATTTGTGGCTCCCATATACATGAACATCAAAGATTGATGTTCTCAAATCAGGTAAGAGATTGAAGGGAAAAATGCTTAAACGTGAGAAGAAAAATGAGATAAGATGTGAAATTTATTTCTTTTAGTTAGACAAATGGTCATAAGGATGATAAGATAAAAATTATTAGAACAGTAATACAACTTCAAACTAAAATCAAATGTAGACAAGAGAACAAACACAAGAAATAGCACAAACACCAAATACACACGAGTTTAAGTAGTTCAGTGAGATCCACCTATATTTACAACTGTACTGAAATTAAACAACCCACTAAATTTCAAGAGGTATATAAAAAAGATTATATTTCATATAAATTTGGAGACAATGATAGAAATATTACTCTATCTATGTCAGTGATTAAGAGAAAAGGCAACCACTCTTTTCCCAAGTAGTTATATGAGTCCAAACAAGAGCTTCACCCTATTGTGCTAGAGAGTTTCTCCTCCTACTATAGCAGAAAATAGTAGCACATCTTCTCCCTTGATGAAGCCAAAGTCACCTCCCAAGAAGTACCCAAAATACTCTATCTTTCTTTCTCTAATGGTAGTCCCACCCCCCTCTATCTCTGCCTCTCTTCTCTTTGTTTGATTCTTGTTGTGGATGTCAAATCCCTCCTTCAAAGTCCATATTCATAATAATAACAAGATATGAGTTTGGAGATAGAGACCTAATTAAAATATTTTACAATATCAATTAAAAGCAACAAAAGATCATTGCCCATTAAAAAATTTAACTCTCTCTTTGAAAATATCAACTCAATATTACAATAAATAGGAAATCTCAAGCATATCATGGAAGGAATTAATGGGATAAATTTTTTACTTCATTATTTTAATAATCTCCCAATTGGAGATAACTTTTTTATGCATCTGTTTGATAGTCAATGCCAAAATACCTATTTGTGCAACACCTCAAACTTATTCTCAGAGGTTAATTAAGGCTTTATAAAGTTTCAACTTGTTTGCTAGTAAAATTTTATTGAGCAAATCAGTTGTGTTATCTCCTCCTGATAAGGACATCAGCCAGAGATTTCGACATATGTATCATCGAAGGAATTGTAAATCGACGGCTACGATTCGGAGCCTTTACTTTTGATGTATTCATGTATTGCTTATTATTTTTGCATTTTAGTTTTTCCTATTTTGCCCCTATTGGTAGTGAATTCTTGTTGTAGCCCCAAGGGCATTTGAGTCTTTCTTTTTATTTTATTATTTAGACCTATATATAGAGGTCTTTTGCATTGTATGAGGCTAATGATGAATCAATAGAAAAATTTCATCTTTTCTTTGCTCTTGTTGCTTGTGCGCTTCAAAGAGAAGAGAGAACCCTAAGAGAGGGCCAACGTAATATATATTTCAAAATTAATCCTTCCCTCCCTTAAGTAAATTTCAGATTTCCAAAACTATTCCCCTTCGATTTCCTAACCTAAGTTCAAGGAGCTTCAACCCACAACCATAGCCCCCTTCCCCTATTCGAGCCCCTCCAAACCACCGGCTTCCCCTCTCCCTCCTCCATAAGCCGCTAGCCTTTAAGGGTCCCCAAGCAAGAGAAGATATCTTTGCCCATGGATGGTGGATCCAGAGTTTGATTCCGGCTTCGTTACGATCAAGAAGGTTTCGTCCACATCCCACGATCAACTTTCTTTGATTTCAATTTGGAGTTTGACGAATCCGTGGAAGAATACGTGAACATAAGTCTCTACCAACTATCCGCCGCCGCCGATCAACACCTTGCATCCATCCGTTGGGATATTGGTCACCGTCCACCGACTTCTTCTACTTCGACTACTTATCCGGCGAGTTATACCGTAAGCGTCACTTGTTTCTTAGCGGCATCACTAGGGTTGTTGATATTCTACCTCCGCTAAGACACTACTTTCATGAGCGAGAGTGAGGGAACACAAGGTGAAAATATCTATTTGTTAAGTCGCGGATTTTTGTTATTCATTGCAGTTAATTTTACTTATTTATTTTGTTGTTATTTGCAAGTATCATTTTAATCTTGTTTGTAACCACATCATATTACATAACTTTTAATTGAAAATTCAAGAATCTAACTTGGTGAAACATAAGGTTTACAATTGGCAAGGCTTTTCAAATTATTATTAATTTCCAAAGCAATTCTTGTTTTCATACATGTTTCACATCACCTCCATTAACCTTAACAAGTAGAATGCCAGTTTCAAGCAAACTAAAATGTAATTCTTAAGTTGTATATATTTTATACAAGAGTGAAAAGTTACATTCTTTGTCAAATGAATGACGCTTTGGCTATAAAAAAAGACTATGACACCTTATGAACTAACTAGTTATTCTAAAAAAAAAGAAAGTTTTGAACTTGAGTTGAGCCATCTTGTATGGATCGGCCACAAGCGCACGGAATGACTTACTAGATGTCTTCTAATATTACACAACTACTTCAACAACTTATAAAAATTAAATATTTAAAAGGTGGAATAATGATTGATGAAATGGAAGTATAAAAAAGATTCATACGTGATTAGCATTGGTTTGTGATATAGCGATCGCAGAATGAGACTTAGCATGAATATGCCGCATCAGGACTACTGATTTCAATATAAAGATAATCAAAGTCGTAAGCAGGACAAATATAAAAGTATCATAAACTAATCAATGGCCTACGATCATCATGCACCACATGCACTATCAATGGCCTACGATCATCATGCACCATGCTTTAAAATTGCGCAATATGAGGCTCGCCTTTGCGCAATTCCAGAATAAAACGCCTCGATGCTTAAGCCTCGAGTTTTTTTTATGAGTCTTGCGCCTCAACTTGGTTGAGGCGGGCTCAGAATACGCAATTTTAAACATTGTCATGCACTACATGCATCTTGCCAGTGGTTGCTACTTAGAGGGCTCGGCCTGATAACTCCCTAGCGATCAGCAAGGGAGCAAGATTCAGAGATAATCACGTACTCAAGCCGATCTGCGCGCAAGGAACAGGCAAGTTCGAGCTATTTGGGTCCATGTAAGCCGTGGTTCGACCAGCTCAAGCATTCAAGAACTCGACACAACCTTCAGAAGTTACCTTGTAGGTTAGCCGAACCAATATGGGTTTATCCAAATCAGTTCAGAAAATAAAATAAAATAAAAATAAAATAAAATAAACAAAACAAATTTATGCTAAAAAGATCCATACTTCCCATCCCAACAGAACCTAAAAATCTTGATGAAATTCCAATAAACATCGAATATCACAAGTATTTACGATATAAATGCTGCGAAAATTAACCGAAAACCTGAAGAGGAAGCGCATCCATATCGGCTCGGAGAGCAAACTGAGGACCCTCGCTATTCCCAACAATGGAGGCGACGACTCCAGTCTTGGCGACAGGCCACTTATATGCAATGCCGAGGGAATCGAGCTCGGATCGAATGAGCTCGCTGGTCTTGTATTCCTCAAAGCCAATCTCCGGATATTGGTGGATCCTCCACCTGATGCTCTTCATCCAGTTCAAGAACTCCGGCTCCCGAGCCGAATCTAAGAGATTTTCATACGACCATGAGACTGAAGAGAGGATGCCAGAGAAGAGAAGGGAGAAGAAGAGTAGCGAATGGTGCGCCATGGAAGCTAACGAAAATTTGCAGACGAGGGCATAGCAAATTATTGCATCCGGTCACGGAAGCCGAGATAGTTACGCGTATTAATAAAATATTATTTTAAATTAACGGCGTTAAAAATGCAAACCATAAAAGGCCAAATTTTCAGAAGGAGCGTTTTTCGTGTGAAATTTAGCAGAAGGAACGCGAAGAGGAGAAAATTTGAGAAGCAGCCAATACGCCGTACAGTTAAGCGCATTCAAAGAATGCGCTTAATGAAACGGCGCATTCTTTGAATGCGCTTTTTAAAAAAGCGCATTATGTAGATTGCGCGTTTTGGCTTGGCGTATTTCTTAGGAAATTCATCAATCCCGCTGGCAGTGACCCGAAAACTGAGAGGATTTTGTTTTTTAGCGGGGGAAAGATCCGGTTTATCCGCGAAAGTAGTTGAAACGATGGTGAAATTTATGTTGGTAGCTGAATATGAGTGGTTGGGAGCTGATCATTGATGACGGAAATGGTTGAACTTCCGGCTATAAAAGGGCAGGCTGCGTTCTCGTTTACACCATTCCTCCTCAAGCGAAGTTTCTCTCAAAATTTCGGTGTTAAAGCTCAGAAGGTATGGTTTTTTATTAGCTGTTTATTTTCTAAGGTTTTATGTTAATGTTGTAATAATATAGGCAGATTTATATCATAGGGCAGTTGAGTTATTATTTAAGCAAGCAAGGTGATTATGTCGGAAACTATTCTTCACTTTCCGTTTTTGTTGTTCACATTAAGTTGGAATATCAGTAGAATGGTGGTGTTAGATTTGATTTGTATCACCAATAATTATGTGATTGTGTTACTTAAGAACATTTGTTGGCTAAATATAGATTTGTTTGTATTTTCCTTTTAATTTTTGTGTTATTTAAAATAGTTGTTTAGAGTAGCTTTAATTTTGCAAATTTTGGTTGCCGATCTTTATGATTTGAGATGTTGGTTGAGCTAATGTTTAAATTTGGTTTGGGT